AGTTTTATTATATGTGGTATAAAAAACATATTTTAATGTAACTATTAACAGTAATAACTAAACTAATTCTTTTTAAAAAATACAAAAATGATTTAAGATTAAGGTTAATATTGAAGGTATTATACATAGTTTAATACGTATCTTACGTATGATACGCAATCATACGTAGGATACGTAGAAAACCTCTAGAGTGCGTATCAAACCCAATAGTCGTAGTCTCGTCTTCTGATGTATGTGTTCGAACCATTGATACGGCTCAAACACATTCATATCATGCTCCAAACAGAGAATTTTAAAACGGACGATAACGTTTAATTTAAACTTCAAATAAAATACAACAATTGATGTAGAAGCAAATTTAATTATTGTCGAACAAATGCCGACTGAGACCTTGTTGCGTTTATTTAATTACATTTTCTTGTAAAAAAAAAATAATCTCATATAATATTTTTATAGAATTTTTCATATTTTAAATTTATAAAGATCTTTTAAAAAATTAATTTTTTCTTAATTTCTTCAGATTTTATATAATTATTTCTTTCAAAAATTACAGAAAAATCTAAAAATATTCTACAATTTACATATATGCATAAAAAATGTTAGAAACAATAATTCTCTCAGTATTTCTGTAAAATATTTAATTCGTAAAAAAAATTTGAAAAATTTTGAAAAATGCTGAAAAATCATATATAAAGAATTTTCAAAAAATTTTTTATCGGGTCATAAAATTTGTTGTAATTTTTTTCCATACATTAAACAGTAAAAAATTAATATTCTGTTAATATAAGTATTGCTAATTATCGCTAATTAAATTAATCAGAATTTGGTTAAGTAATTCACTAACCTTAAGCTTATTTTCAAAAGGTACCGCAGTATCGAATGGAAATTCAGTTCTTCCGCGTCAATCTATGCCTGCGTAATTTATGACAAAGGAAGATTAGCTATCGATTATTTTCGATACGCATTACGCACACTGCAAGGATTCCACGTGATATTGTTTACAGCTGTTTTAGCGTGTAATTATTTAATTTTAATACATAAATCGTAATTACGATCAATTATGACAGAACAATATCTAAAATCCATCAAGGTCGGTTTCATCGGAGGCGGAAATATGGCTAGTGCCATAGGCGCTGGTTTAATTCGCAAGGGTAAACTCGCATGTTACTTATTAATAAAGTCCACTTCTATCAGTAGAATTAACTTTAATATCGGTATTACTTTATATTTTTTTTGAGTTTTAAGAATTAGAAGAATATTAGGCGTAAATTAAATCGAAATTAAAATTGACAGCAGTAGTAGAAATGGATTATAAGTTAGATCTAAAATCAGAGCAAAGTAAGACAGATTTTCTTAGAACTAAATATTTTTTTTCTTTTTTTCACAATAGGTATATTAAATCCAGATAATGTCTGGGTTTCTGGTCGTACGGACAGAACACATGGATTTTGGAGGGATCTGGGAGCTCATCCGACGTTAAAAAACAACGAAGTTGTGAGCAACTGTGACATCATCTTTTTGACGGTGAAACCACATATGCTGGACGATGCGCTTGATACTATTGTAGGGAGAAAAGTGGGTGACGCATGGGAGAAATTTGAGAGTAAGCTCTTTATCTCAGTACTTGCTGGAATATCTCTTGATGTCTTGTATATTGTAAGTAAAGCAGATAACATCTAACTTATATAGCATATAACATTTCAATTTTTATGACAGCTTGTATAAAATACTTTTTTAGAAACTCTCAGCAGTTATAACTTCACCGAGGATAATTAGATCCATGCCAAATACACCCATGATGGTCGGGGAAGGAATCACAGGTGTGTAAGAAAGATATGACATAGCAAAGATCAACTTATGCTTTATAATATAAGTATAATTTGTAGTTTATTGTAGCAACAACGCTGAGTCAAAAGATCTGGAAATGGTGGATATGTTATTCTCTTATATCGGCATGAGTGAAAATGTTCCAGAAAGTCTTATGAACGGCATTGGCGGTTTGTCAGGTAGCGGCCCAGCATTTGTAAGTTTACTGTAGTAATCGTTACAATTAGAGAGATGGAAATAATTGCGTATTATTTCAATAATATTTTATTCAGGCATATCTCATCATAGAGGCACTAGCGGACGGAGCTGTGAAAATGGGTGTGCCGAGGCCAATGGCGACTAAATTTGCAGCACAAGTACTAGTAGGGGCTGGAAAAATGGTACTTGAAACTGGACGACATCCTGGTCAGTTGAAGGATGAAGTCTGTTCACCTGGAGGTACCACTATTACTGGCGTCCACACTATGGAAATGGGAGGAGTCAGGTGCATTGTGAAAGTTATTTTATACATCCTATTATTTTATTACACATACACACAAACACAACGCGCGTACGCACGCAGCCACAGGGTCCCCGGATTATTCGTACAAACAGTATATTCTAGAAGCTAAAATAAGAAAAAAATGAAAAAATGTTATATATGAACATAGATTCTAGATTTGCTTTATTTTTAAAGTTACAGCAAAAATATGAAATCTGTAAAAAATAATTTTTTATCGAAGCTTACACCACACATTATAATTGAATTGCAAACGTTAAAAAATTGTTATGGATTATATGATTATGCAGGATTGTTACGAAAATTGAAACCGCCACTTGTGAATGTAGTCTCGTCAGTGATAAATTAATAGACATATCTAGTATGTCATAAACATATAGTCTATGGATAAATTCAATACTACATTGATGCCAAGCTTGTATAAATAGATAGCATTTTGAAATGTAAAACTTTGTAAACTTAGTGAAAAATTCTTGCAAATTTTATATTTTTAACTTTTTAATAAAACATTTTAGGACCTATGTTTATACAACTTTTTTTTCTTATGTCAGTTTATAAAACATACTATTAAAGTTTGCACGGAAAATGCGGAGATACTTTACATACGTGTATATATATATATATATATATACATACATGCAGGATGTCTGATAATAACTTGTGGGTAGATAGATAATATTTATTTTTAATTTTCTCAATAATGAGATAACCACAAGAGGTGATACGATTATTACGATCAACATTTAATTTCTAAATAATCTTGAGATTTGTCTTAATGAATACAGGGGCTCTATGATGAATGCTGTCGAGGCTGCTGTGAATAAAACAAATGAACTATCTCGCTTAAAATAATAATTCTCAAAAAATAGATGTCAATATTTTAAGGTATGTATATTGAACAAACATTTGATGTTACCTTACTACTTATTTAAGCTACATTTTATATTCATAATATTTGAAGATTAGATTTATATAATTATAATGTATATAAATACGTATCATGTCAATAAATTTATTAGATTCATAGTGCAGGCGACAATACTAGAAAAATCAGTAGTGCTCCTGGGTACTACCAGGATTCGATTCTAGGCTTTTCTCCTTCTCAAGCAATCACTGTATCACTGAATCACAACTGTATCTATCTTGATACTTTTATGTTCCAAATGAAAATACAGAACAGTTATGTAATTTTTGAAATTTACATTTTTTTCTATTTTGACTATTCCTAACAAACATATTTAAATTTCGCACTCAGTATCTTTTAAATTGTATAGTCTGTTTTTATGCTGATTAGCTGTATTAGCTGATTCCTTTTAGTATAGTATACACTCCTTACATTTAAAGTAAAATAGGTATATGTTGATATTTAATGAAAGTTCTAGTACAGTTTAGTGCAGTAATGAAAACAAACATAAGACTGCAAAGATACAAATTATTGTGAATATGTTTATTTACAAATTTTTTTCAACCATTTGAATTATTCAAACAAAATTATGAATTTTTAAAAATTATTAATTCGATTATCGACATTGAGCAAAGAAATTTTGCACTCATTGTCAGTTAAATTTACAGTTTTTCAAAACTGGAATATTAGTATGATGCATTTAAATTTGACAAAAGATAGCTATATCGCAAAACACTTAAAACTGAGTGATAAAAATTAGGAATGATGAAACTAATGTCATGAAAGTAAAGATTTAAAAATTGGAAGAATTGCTCGAATTGAAAAACTCATAAAAGTAAGCATTGGAACTAACTTTCACTTTTCAATCTATAAGATATCCTAAAGTCGACTGTACATAGAATTGTAGAGGAAGATTTGTGAAGATGTCCACACATATACACACGCACGCACACACAAGAAACTTATTTTAAGAAATTTATTTCGAATTGAGAATTTAAATTGCAATGAGTTTAGTAAATTCAATTTAAATTAATATAAAAAGAAAAAGATTTACTTCAACGCACATTTACTATCGATAAGGCATATTTTGAATACGTTTGGGATGACTTAATAAATGCGGATTTTATCTTTGTGTATTTAGTATTATTATATTTATTATAAAACGTATGTACAATAAATACATGTATACATATATATATATATATATATATATATATATATATATATATATAAAATTATGTTTAAATATCTTGTGAATATTTTATCCTTATTATCAAATAGTTTTTCGAATATAATATGTGATAATAAAATAAAGAAATTAATACAAATATTGTTTCAAAAGAAAATTTTTATATTAATAAATCCACTCGAATTTACCGCTCTACTTTAATATCCGGGAGCGGCCATATTGGTCAACCGTCTTAGATGAAACCCCCACCACCGATATGCTCTCTCCAGTCCTCCATGAACTACAGTTAATGTTTGTGTGGCGACCACCGAAGCGACCGCCCACGTGCTACCTGGCCCGAATGGGCAAACGCAACATTATCATCCACTACCGTCGCGAAAGCCAGCCGCCCCGAGAGTGGCGATGGAAAAATCCAGCAGCGCTTGCACGGTCCGTATGTGCAAGATGAGCAGTTTTGCCGTGAAGCGGGCGTCCCGCGCCTAAGCTCAGGGCGCACGCAACACGCCCACGGGGACCACGGGGAGGCCTGCCCATTTGCGTCCCGCCTGGACGCACGCCCTGACCCTGTTGGGTGAGAGAGGATAGGAGTTGATTGGATAGGGAAGTAGCTAGAGCTTGCTCTGTATTCCCTTTATTGATGAGGCAGGATTGTAAGTGGATTGACAGGTGTTCTATGTTTGTCGAGCCCTGCCTGCGAAGACATGCAGGTCTTATGGCTCTTTTGGCTTTTTGGCTTTACCCGCGAAGAGTTGCAGGGTTTGATGCCTTGCCTACGAAGAATTGTAGGCCTACTGCTCTTCGAAGCCCTTTAACCAAAGGGACTCCCTGCAGTACTCGGTTAGAAGCAAGAAGGCCTCTAGGTTCGACGCGAAGAAGCGCGCCACTTCCGGCCATCTCCATTCGCCCTCTGGTACAATTTCGCGTAGTGCCACTCTCTGCGCTTCGAAATGTGGGCAATCAAGAAGAAAGTGCTGTACAGTATCCTCCTCAGCACCACAATTGCATGAGCCATCATTGACTAGCCCCAGCGCAGCTAGTCTCGCTCGGAAGTTGCCGTGTCCTGTGACTATTTGCGCATTCCAATGGTCGAGCCGAATCCACCGCGCATCTATTCTTACACGGATACTTTCGAAGAAGGCGAATGTGGTACGACCTTTTCCAGAAGACTGCCATTTGGTCTGCCACGTTTCTATCGCCTTTTGCCTCACGCACTCTAGCGCGTGTTTATACCTGTTATTTTGTCGCCTCGCCTGTATCGGCAATTTCGGTAATTTCGGCGTCTCGCCTTTTTCTGGCTTCATATCTCGCTTTGCTCTCCTGGAGCATTATGTCTACAGGAGTATCCCTGCGGTTACGCAGAGAGCTTCCCAAGATGCTGTGCGATACGCGCCTGTTGAAGATAGGAGAACTCGGCGCTGCACAGCTCTTAGAATCCTAATTTCGCTTTCCGTACACAGGTCGGACCAGCCCGCAGCCGCGTACGCAACTGTTGGGCCGAACACTCCTCGGTATATGGTGGAAAGCGCCCTATTTCTTAGGCCCCATTGGGACTTTGCGAGCTTTCCCAGCTTATCGAATAACGAACCCATTTTCTCGCTTAAGACCCGGCAACGGGTTTTTACTTTCATACCCTTGTCAAAGTGTACACCAAGGTACCTGGCTGAGTCCTTGAATTTTATTCTAGAACTTCCTAACCTAATAGCAAGTGGTTTGCTTTCGAAATTAGCTAACCTCTTCCTGCTCTTGCCAACCCTGTCTGGGCGAGTAATTTGGGCCCTCCTTATCTCTTTGCTTCTGAGCAAGATAGCTTCAGTCTTTTGCTCCGAGATCTGAAGTTTAGCCATCCTACACCACTCATCAATCCTATCGACCACTTGTTGGCCGTTCCTCTCTATTTCCCTACGGGAATTACCATTTACCAGAACCAGAAGATCGTCCGCGTATGCAATGTAGCGGTTTTTCGCAATGTTGTCCAGGATCACGCAATGTTGTCCAGGATCACTAGCAACCCATCGAACATGTAGTTCCAGCAGCCCGGTCCAAGCACTGAGCCTTGGGGGCATCCCCTTGTGGCTCGTTTAAAGATAGTGGTTTTGCCACTTGATATCCTGACCTGCCGATCCTTGAAATAATCTCTCATCACCTCATACACATTTCGAGGACATTCTTTCTCTTTGAGGCTTTGGAAAACCAAGGGCCACCAGACGTTGTCGAAGGCGCCCGATATGTCGAACAACAAAGCCACCACATAACCTTCCTCTATGCTCAACACCATTCGACGCAATTCTACGATTGCATCCTCTGTCGACCTTCCTGGCATGAAGCCGAATTGCCGATCGGAGATTCTTCCCGGCGCTAACACCGTGTCTGTTAAGCGCAATTTTAGGAGCTTCTCAAAGAGCTTTCCTACTACTGAGAGAAGGCAGATTGGCCTATATGACTTTGGATCTTTCTCATCCTTGTCTTCGCCTTTTAGGAGGACCCTTAGCGAGCCTATCTTCCATATCGAGGGAAAGGTTTCTCATTTAAGGCATCCGTTGAATAGCCTTACCATTTGATCTGGTATGATTTTACATACGGCTTTAAGCACTTTAGTTTCTACTAGGTCTAGCCCAGGTGCTTTATTATTTTTGAAGCTCTTTACCGCCTGTATGGCTACTTCAAGCCTCGTGAAGAATGGGGCGTTAGCCGTTTCTGGCGCTTCATTTGCTTCTGCTCTGATGTCTTGTTGTTCAGAGGTATCATTTATCTCTCTGTTGTCTGGAACGTGTACGTCCAGTAGGCGTCTAGCCGTCTCTTCCACGTCCATTGTGTAACACTCTCCTTTCCTGAGTGTACTGATGACCTTCTCTACTCTCAGCTTATTTGCTTGCTGCTTATACACAAAGCCCCATGGTTCTTTATTACCATGATTTGAGACGAATTCCGTCTAGCTTTCTTTCCAGCTTCGCCTTTTCTAATGTCTTGCGATATCGTCGCAATGATGTGTGGTATTCCTGTATTTGGCATTCTCAGGACCTTCTGATCTCCTAGCCTTTTGGTACTTCCTCCTTAGGCGTATAACCTCTTTCTTTATTATCGTCAGTTCTCTCGTCCACCACGGATTGGACTTCCTAAATGTTCTTTTCCTTGGCATAGATACCCCACAGGCCTCTGTAATGACGTCCTGTAGCGTTCCCGCCATTTTCTCCACTTCTGCGGCAGAGGACAGATCCAGGACCTCGAGCCTTGACTCAGATAAGCCAGTTAGACTCTCAGCAAAGCATTCCCAATCGGCTCGACGAGTATCGAATCTCATGTTCGCGCCTCGCCGATCGTCACCACGTGCTCTTGGCACCCCTAATCTGATCTCTATGGAATTGTGATCACTGGTTGTCCAGGTGCACCTCACCATCCATTCATTGATGAATTGAGCCATGGAAGGCGATGATAGGATAACGTCGATGTATGACGACCCGTTCGCCGTTTTGAATGTAGATGCCTGGCCAGCTCTGTTCACAACATACATGCCATGCGCACGAATGAGGTCTTCAAATTTGCCTCCTCTTTCGTCTGTCCCCTGGGGACCCCACATTGACGAACGTGCGTTGGCGTCTACCGCCACTAGTAGTCTCTTCCCCCTCAGTTTATGAAGCACCATATCCAGGTGTCTGAGGTGCTCCTCTATTTTATCGCTGTATTGAAAGTAGCACGATGCGACATAAAAAGAGTAGCCGGGTGCCTGCACTTCCGCACACACACAGTGGGTCGTGCTAAGCTGCGAGACGAACATTATCTAGATTTGGGGATTGCATACCGCTACCATTGCCCACGGTCTTTGCGAGCGTACGGCAGCCACGCGCATCCCCGTCCC